CGAAGAGGAAGGGGTTTCATTTGACAAAGCCCAAACTGTCGGGCAAAGAGTTGAGGCTGATAAGGGTAAATTCGAACGTCCTTTTGGCGCACTCCTGAAAATATAATATCCCATGAAAGGAAGCCAAACCACATTTCGAGAGAGTCCCGAGATATGTGCCCTACTTGATTGTTCTGTCGAAGCCAAGAGGGGCCCGTCAAAGTAGTTCGAATGAAAGGTGCCAGGTCTTCACTGAAGTTTGTAAAACTCAAAATAGCATCTATATATTTGGCAAAGTGTTGGATGGAGCGTTTTCGAGGGGTAAGAGTGGTTAAACGAGCTCCTTCCAGTGCACAAGGTGGAGTAAATGATGAAGTCAAAGAAAGTTTTTTCTCGAAAATAGCGTTGAGCCATAGTTGAAGCAGCCATAAAGGTCCCGAAAGATTTCGAGGACCAGTTTCTCGAAAAAGACTCTCTGAGGCTTCATCAAGACTGGTATATAAAGAAACTAGCAGCAATTTGCTTAAACAGATTTGCTTCTTCGAGTGTAAAGCTTGAGCCAGGGCATAGTAATATTTTGGAACCTGAAGGGAAGGGGTGCAGAAGACACATGCAGATAACCAGTACATTAAAAATGCGATATGCTCAGAAGTCGAAACAGAGGTACCCGATTTTCCTACGTGGGCAGTAATAAAAGCCAGATAAGTCTTCTTGTCCTACGAAATAGAAACCTCCTTGATTGGGACTTCTTCCTCGAGAATATCATGGTGAAATCTTTCTCCTATGGGAGCCAATCCAGTGATTGTTGCGATATCCAATAAAGTAGGGCACACGAAGTCGCAAGGGAACTCGAAAGCCCGAGTCTCTCGATTCCAAAAGAAAATTGCAGAGAGAAGCATTTGGGGGTCGAAAAGGTGTAAATCAAACTTAGCAAGTTGAATAAAGTCAAAAATACTAGTTTCGACCCAGGAAGAACTCATCTCACTCTCTATGCGGGTTAACCAAGACAAATGCCTATCTTTAATAGGAGGAAAGGCCCTAAAGATTTTAGTGGTATCTCCAAACAATGATAAGTCTATCTCAGCAGAATGAATAAAGGGAAGGGTAGAGTCATCCTCAGGCAGCAAAGTATTGGCAAATTTCTTCTTATTCTGACCTACGAATGGTCCTAAGAAAGCATGCACATTACCATTCTCAAGAGAGAAAGGAAGCAGTACCTGGGATTGAAAGATCTTTAGGCTGGCCTCTTCCATACCATGAATAGGGACGAAGGTATCATCCCCATCTGGAACCTTGCAGACTTGGGTATTGGCCACAGGAGAGGGCCCATCTGAGTAGAAGCCGCAGTGGCGGTGGCCATGGTTGTTATAGGGGTCACGGTAGGCGAGGTTGTAGTTTCTAGAACCGGAGACGAAGCCAAGGCAGTAGTAGGGGAAGCAGTGGAGGCTATGGCGGCGGAAGTGGATGCAGCAGAAGAAGCCATTGACACACGAAAGCAAAAGACTTGGGAAGGAGAGTGAGAAAGCAAAGTACACAGAGTTCGCCGGAGAACGGAATCAAGAAACAGGGCAAAGAGGAAGCAGAGAAACTTAGGCGCGAAGGAAAGCAATGGTGAAAATGGTTGTCACTCTAGGGTAAAAAAAAAAAAAGTTTTTAACAGGCCTAAGGTAAAACAGGCCCATCAGTTAATTTAAAATTCAAAGCAAATGATAAAAACGGCCGCCAAAATATTTTGATAACAGTGAAACGGAAACACGCGCCGTTGTTGCCATCAATGTCGCACCAAACGGTCATGTGCATTAAATGCAAATCAGGGCACAGGTCAGAATAGGTTTTCATTGAAAAATACAAAGACTCCGATTAAAATACTTCGATAGGAATTTGAATCTCTCTGGCAAAGATGCACATCAAGATCGAATTCCTAGGGGGGCATTTGTTAGGGTCACTCGAAAATCGTATGACTCGAAAAAGAGGTGTTTGTGCTTTGGGAAAGCTACTCGAACAACACCTACCGGGAGTGTACCAAGGGTCTCAATTATTTACGCTTGAAAGCCGAATCTGAGAAAGAAACACTCGAAAATAGGCAAAGGAGGTTACTACAGGTTTCCAAAAAGAGTTGGAGTCGAAACGGAGCAATTCGTAAAAAGTAAATCAAAAAGGTTTAAAACACGTGGAAAGAACGGTTATGGGAAGTTACGCTTTAGAGCACGTATCTGATATGGAGAGCGGTTACACACCCACGATGCATGCATACGAAAGATAACTGCTCTCGAGAGTTTCTATAAATAGGCAAAGTTTGGCCTTTCACGAGGTCGAAAAAACTCATACTTGAATAGAACTCTGAAGCACTTTCTGCTTGCGCATATGGCTTTCGTGCATAGAATCGTTTTTGGGTATGGTTGCTTCTTGACCACTTTTCTTTTTTCCTTTCTAGATTAGGATTAGTTTAGTCTTCTTATTTCTCGTAATCACTTAGTTTTCAATTACGTAAATTCTGACAATGTTGTAATGCTTAGATATTATGAACCATGATTTGCATAGGAAGTATATCTGTTGTTCATTCTGTTTATTTAAGCATCTATGCTCATGAACACTATTTTTTGATAATCATTGATGAATATCTAGAAACCAGTAATTATTAACTCTTCCTTCTACGTTCTTTGTCTTTAAACCGAATTAAATCAAATACCTAAATTGAAACCGTTTTTGGTGCTAGTCCGAATAAAAAGAATCCATAAAACGAATTCCACTGTAAACAGGAGAAAAAAAAAGTTAACAATAAAGAAAAGAAATTTTTTAAACTTGTGTTTCTTTAATTCTCTCTTTACTTTCTCTATATTCAAGCACAAAATACCTCTCCAAACAATCATAAACACAAAATTGTAATCGTTTGTTAGCCACAGTCACCATCAGAGTAAACCATGTGGAGCCTCAACTATGGTTGAGTAAATAGAAATTGTCTTGGATTTAATGAAACATCCCTTCATGACTTGACTTGCCCTTTTCAATACATTTTAGCGTTGCATTACATATTAAAGCTTTTGATCATCCTCTAATCAACCAGAAATGAAAGATATGGTATGATCTCAAATGTTTAGTTAGTGTAAAACCAAATTCTTGGTTGTCTATTTTTTCACTTTTACTTTCTTTTTTATTTTTTCAACTTTCAACTATTGTTTTCATAGCCTCATAGCAGATGAATAAACCCCCATTCTTAATATGTAGTAAACAATAAGTGTAGCTGTTGAATTAAGCCCCCCCCCCCCCCCACCACAAAAAAAACAACCAC